GCGGGAGTTTCATGTAGTTACCATTCGCGTGATCACTCGCCTGTGTTGAGTTACCAAATGCGTGATGCGAGTTACCAAACGTGTTAAGCGAGTTACCAAACGCGTTAAGCGAGTTACCAAACGCGTTGGAATCGTTACCGTACGCGTTATAGTGCCCCATGTAAGTTACCATTGACATATTTTCCCCACATCCAAACGTGAGGGGTAAGGATGCAAATGCATGATGATAGTGCATACATCCAAACGTGGTGAGGATGTGTCTCAAATGTTCTGGTCCACGTGGGTCCGACACGGACCTGCTCCAGCTCACCAACCATCACAGACGGGACCAAAATTCGGACTCACACTATAACGTTCGAATGGCACTACAACGGTGCCATCGATTTTCTCTCCATACCAGTCCGTGCCTTCATAACATTTGTTTTGCGTAGTCTCTTCCCGTTCGTTATTTTCGCGCTAGACAGGATGGAGAGATCTCAGAGGGCACAATAATACAGTAACTCGGTTTCAGCATGTCTGATTTTCGTCGTTACTGTTGTGATTCGCAAATACTATACAGCCCGAGTCGCGATTAGTCCGGTACGTGTCTGGTCCACGACTGGTCCACTAAGTGGGTCCGTCGGACCAGAATTCCGGACCAGGCTTATGAATTCTAGTGACGGATCAGCACGGACCACTCGCATGAGACCCCCTCTTTAGTGCCTCCGCAACGCCTCAAATATAACCCTCGTTTTGACCCAGTGGGTAGCTGTAACAAGGGGCACCTGCACTGGAGCCAGCGTGAAGCGCACAGGAGGCAGCGACATGCAGCAGCCGCGTGCAGCTGCAAACGTGGGCAGCAAGGGGGCGGAAGTATGCAGGACGTGGGGGACCCACGTGAGGAGGACGAAACACAGGTTTCGTGCCTTGACTGACTTGGGGGGACTTCCGCGTGGGACAGGTGGCGAAAGTCCAGATTTGGAGGAATAGAAATGTAACACGTGTGTGGGTGCAGTGAGGTGTACAAATGTGAGTAGAAATATGGAATGCGGCTCGATGTGGGGCTGGCCACCCAAATCGACATTACGAGCCGCATGTCTGAATTGTAAATGTACTGTACATATAAAAATGCATTCGTAGGAATTAGAGAGTAGTTGCTGTTTCTCTTTCTGTTTGTTCTTCCTTGCTTCTAAGGAAATTCTCTTGGGAAGAATTCTCAGCCAGAAAACAACTTGAACAAGCCCAAGTGCTGTGAGCTTGTTCCATTTGGTCTCAGAGCCTGTTTTTTCCTCGTGAGTTGCTGCCGGGTTATTTTTGCACCATGGCCGATTCAGAGCGTGATGCCGCGGTTCGAGAGCTCGTAGCCAAGGAGGTGCAGGCTGCCCTGCAGAACGCAGCTGCACAGCAAGGAGTAGCTACAGCTCCGGGAAGCGTAGTGGGATCTATTTCCCATGTGAGAGCATCGATGCCGGACACGTTTGTTCCAGGGAAAGGACAACCGGTGGTTCGACGATGGCTCTTCCTAGTGGAAGAATATCTACGCTTGAGCCACGTGGCTGGTGAGGAGTGGGCGCCGTTCGCTGGAACCCTACTCAGAGGCTCTGCGGTTGCATGGTGGCAATCGGTGCGACCTGTTATCCAAACCTGGCAGCAATTTAAGGAAGCTCTCGTTGCGTCATACGAACCTATCAACGCGATGGCAAGGGCGCGTGATCAACTTGCGAATCTGCGGCAGCGTACTTCTGTAGCGGATTACATCGCTGAATTCCGTAACATCTCCACCGAAATTTCAGACCTTTCAACGGCTGAGGCGCTGGACAAGTTTAAGCGCGGGTTGAAAGACGACGTTAGGACGGAGGTGAAGGTGCAGGGCTGTAGTTCGCTTGAGGAGATGGCGCGTGTCGCTGAACGTTACGATGAGATTCACTTCGGTAACCGTCGCAACCGTTTCAATCGTGGGATGCGGTTCAGCCCGAACATGTTCCAGCCTATCCATGGGGAGCAGCGTGGTGGTGCAGGACCGACGCCGATGGAGCTGGACACGATTGATAAGAACAAAGAGAAGCGGAAGGGCTTTGGTGGAAATTGTTTCAAGTGTGGGAAACGCGGTCACAAAGCACTCAACTGCCCTACCAAGCCAAGCAGCCGGGAAACAAGCCTCACCAGTAGCTTCGGGGCGAGTTGCTGGTGGTGAGGAGTGCCCCACCTTGCTGACTCCATCCTCAACGCCACTGCAGCAGAAGTCGGAAGGAGCCATAGTATTTTGGGGGCAGATTCGTGGTAAGGAGGTAAAGATGTTGCTGGATAGTGGTGCTTCATCTAATTTCATCTCTTCACGGCTGGTGCATGAATTGCAGTTACCTGTGCAGAGTGGTACAGTGGAGAGTACGGTGCGCATGGCAGATGGTGTAGTGAGGAGCTGTGGACCTGAGTTGTACCCGGTCAACTGCAACATGGGGGAGTTTCATGGGAAAAATCGTTTTCAACAGATTTGGCTTGACAGTCATGATGTCATCTTGGGCAGGAGCTGGCTGTCTGCGGTGAACCCTCAGGTGGATTGGAGAACCAGGGAGGTGAAGGTGCTGTTTGGGGGGAGGTTTGTTCGCCTACCAGTGGTGCAGCAGCAGGAGGCGATGACCTTGCAGCTGATTAGTGCGAAGCAGTTTGGTAAGGCCATACGGGGGGAGGAAGCCGTTTTTCTAGGTCTCATCACAGAGGTTCAGCCTACATCGCCTGAAGCAGCAATACCAACAGTTTCAGCATCACATGAGGATGAGGAGTTAGCACGGGGTGTGGAGAAGCTGCTGGAAAAAAATTCAGGGGTGTTTCCGGAGGACTTACCGGCTGGACTTCCTCCTAAGCGAGCTGCAGATCATAGGATAGAGCTGATTCCTGGATCTACCCCACCTGTTCGACCTACCTACAAGATGAGTGCAGTGGAGCTGAAGGAGCTAAAGAAGCAGTTAGAGGATCTGTTAGCTAAGGAGTTCATTCAGCCTAGTTCCTCTCCGTACGCTTCTCCGGTGCTGTTCGTGCGGAAGAAGGACGGTTCTCTACGGATGTGTGTAGATTACCGTGGCCTGAACAAGATAACAGTGAAGAACCGGTACCCACTGCCACGGATTGATGAGCTGTTTGAGCAGGTTGGTGAGGCACGGTACTTCTCCAAGGCATGATGCAGAGCATTTTCAGTGATTTCATTGACAAGTTTCTGGTGGTTTTCATTGATGACTTGCTGGTTTACGGTCGCACTCGTGAAGAGCACCTGAAACACCTTGAGCTGGTCCTTGCACGACTGAGAGAGCACCAACTGTTTGCCAAGCGTTCCAAGTGTGAGTTTGGCAAAACTAAGCTCTCATTTCTGGGTCATGTCATCTCTCATGGGAAGCTAGAGGTGGACAAGAGTAAGGTAGCAGTGCTGAAGCAGTGGAAGCAGCCAAGTACAGTGAAGGAGGTGCAGGCGTTCTTGGGGTTAGCAAATTACTACCGGCGGTTTGTGAAGGGATTTGCAGCAGTAGCAGCACCTCTTACCGATCTCTTACGGAAGGACTCTTCATTCTCTTGGGGACTATTGCAGCAGCAAGCTTTTGAGCAGCTCAAAACTTCTCTTACTTCACCCCCTGCCCTAGCAGTACCGAATCCAGAGCTCCCGTACTTCATTTGGTGTGATGCATCAGACGTTGCCCTTGGAGCCATTCTCTGCCAGGACCAGGAAGCTGGGTTGCAGCCAATAGCCTTTGAGTCAAGGAAGCTGACTGCTGCAGAGCGAGCATACCCCATTCACGAGAGGGAGGCACTTGCTGTGGTGCATGCACTGAAGAAGTGGCGCTGTTATGTGGAGATGCAGCCCGTTACAGTCTTCACCGATCACAGAACACTGGAGTACCTGAAAACACAGTCACAGATTACACCACGGCAGGCACGGTGGGTTCAGTTTTTGGAGCAGTATGTCCCCAACCTTCAGATTGTGTACAAACCAGGGCGCTTCAATCCAGCGGATGTTCTGTCACGGCCAGCAGCAGAGGAGCTGAATGTCATGGGTGTGGTTACATGGGACCGCAACTTCATCACTCGTTTCAGCCGGGGTTACAACCGTGATCAGCTGTACCAACAGAAAGCCCCGCATGACCCATCCTTTCTTTTCAGCAATCCCTTTTGGACCCGTGCAGATTCTGGTGCTGTATGTGTACCTGATGACTCCAGGCTTCGCCAACTGCTACTACATGAGTACCATGACAACCGGTCACACTTCGGCAGTGACAAGACGTATGCTGCCATTTCCCGTGACTACTACTGGCCTGGACTGTCCCGGAGTGTAGCAGAGTATGTTTCTTCATGCCCTACCTGTCAGGTCAACAAGGCTCGCACCACTGCACCGGCTGGTCTGCTGCAACCATTGGAGATACCCACAGCCCCCTGGACTTGTGTTTCTCTGGATTTTATCACAGATTTACCCCGCACCCCTACAGGCTTTGATAGCATTTTGGTGGTGATTGACAAGTTGTCCAAGATGGCTCATTTCATCCCTACAACTGGCACAGTGACTGCTGCTGAAACTGCCAAGCTGTTTTTCACACACGTGGTGAGGCTACACGGACTGCCCTCAGCCATAATCAGTGACAGAGACACACGGTTCCTCAGCAACTTCTGGACTGCACTGTTTCAACTGCTGGGCACTCAGATTCGACTCTCTACAGCCTACCACCCTGAAACTGACGGTCAGACAGAGCGCATGAACAGAACCCTGGAGGATGCGCTACGCTCGTGTGTAAACGCCATCCAAACTGACTGGGATCAGCACTTGGCAGCAGTAGAGTTTGCCTACAACAGCAGCCCCAACATTGCCACAGGAGAGCCACCGTTTCTGTTAGCTACCGGACAGCTACCACGCTCAGTCACATCCCTCCCTCACTCTCTTCATTCCCATAACCCCACAGCAGCAGATTTCATCTCTTCTCATCACCGCATTCTTCAACTTGCCCGAAGGAAGCTTCAGCTTGCACAAGAGCGCCAAGTTCGCTATGCCAACCAGCATAGGCGTCACACCACTTTCAGAGTTGGTGATTTGGTGCTGCTTTCAACGGCTAACCTGCCCCTGCTGAATGCTGGAACTTCTCGCAAGCTCGCTCCCAGATTCGTTGGACCATTCCCCATCACCAAAGTTCTCTCACCGGTCAGCTACCGCCTTCAACTCCCTCCTCACATGACCATACACCCTGTTTTCCATGTTCACCTTCTCCGTCCTTACCGTACTCCCTCTCACCCATTCCAGCCCCGCCCACCCATGTTCTCTGCCCATCCGGACCTGCATGAGGTCGACACCATCCTCTCACACCGTGACACTCCGGTTGGCCGTGAATACCTCATTCACTGGAGCAACACCTCAGCATCTGAAGACTCATGGGAGCCGTTTTCCAACCTCAGCCGTGCGCCTCGTGCCATTGGAGTGTATCTTGCCTCGTTGGCACCGAGGACGGTGCCTTCAGGGAGGGGAGGTAATGTAACAAGGGGCACCTGCACTGGAGCCAGCGTGAAGCGCACGGGAGGCAGCGACATGCAGCAGCCGCGTGCAGCTGCGAACGTGGGCAGCAAGGGGGCGGAAGTGTGCAGGACGTGGGGGACCCACGTGAGGAGGACGAAACACAGGTTTCGTGCCTTGACTGACTTGGGGGGACTTCCGCGTGGGACAGGTGGCGAAAGTCCAGATTTGGAGGAATAGAAATGTAACATGTGTGTGGGTGCAGTGAGGTGTACAAATGTGAGTAGAAATATGGAATGCGGCTGGATGTGGGGATGGCCACCCAAATCGACATTACGAGCCGCATGTCTGAATTGTAAATGTACTGTACATATAAAAATGCATTCGTAGGAATTAGAGAAGTAGTTGCTGTTTCTCTTTCTGTTTGTTCTTCCTTGCTTCTAAGGAAATTCTCTTGGGAAGAATTCTCAGCCAGAAAACAACTTGAACAAGCCCAAGTGCTGTGAGCTTGTTCCAGTAGCGAGGCGTTATATTTGGGCTGAAAACGATAGATTCATTCTGGGCCAAGAAACATGCTCGCATCGCATCTCGTTTGGACCTAGTGCCGATGACCTAAGGGGTTTACCCTCTTACCTGTATGACGCGCTGAAGACCGGGGGCGATCATCTCTCCCTTCTGCTCCTCACACGCTCCCCCTATTTTGCGCGGCTTCCCTATTCCGCGCGGCTCCCCTGTTCGCGCGGCTCTTCTATTCCGCGCGGCTCCCCTGTTCGCGCGGCTCTTCTATTCCGCGCGGCTCCCCTGTTCGCGCGGCTCTTCTATTCCGCGCGGCTCCCCTGTTCGCGCGGCTCTTCTATTCCGCGCGGCTCCCCTGTTCGCGCGGCTCTTCTATTCCGCGCGGCTCCCCTGTTCGCGCGGCTCTTCTATTCCGCGCGGCTCCCCTCCAGTCACTGCGGCTCATCCTCACCACCACCGCACTCCATGGCGGACGCTTCCGCCGATCCGCTTCCCCCCGTCCCGCCGTCCCCGCCAGTGGCGCCCGTCTGCGCGCCCCTCACGACCCTCGACCAGCTGCTCCAATGGCGCCCCGGCAGCCCCGCCACGGGCGGAATCTACAACCGCGCCACCGCGCCCTTCCGCGCGCGGAGCGCGCCCGGCGCGGCGCGCGGCGAGCTTCCGCGGCGGCGGCGGCAGCGGGTGTTAGCGTGCCACGACATGATGGGGGGGTACGTGGAGGACGAGCGCGCGCAGGGGAGCGCGTGCAGCGAGGTGTACCGCGCGTGGGAGTGGGACGCGGTGGACGTGTGGGTGTACTTCAGTCACCACCTGGTGACGCTGCCTCCCGTGGCGTGGAGCAACTGCTGTCGCACGCACGGCGTGCAGGTGCGCGTGGGGGTAGGGATGCGGGTAGGGGCGACGGGGCAATGGTGAGGCATGCGGGCGTGCGTAAGTGCGCTTGCGGTGGGGGAGCGCGGAGGAGAATTTGGAGAGGGGGTAGGCGGGATGGGGCGGCGGAGGACAATAGGACGATCAAAGGCATGCACCATTTGCTACCTATCACCATGCCACCATGCCACCATGTTCATCAACCCTGCCACTGTCAACACACACCACTCCACTGCCATTCCACAACCTTTTGTTCCTGGCATACCCAAGCAACCCATGCACGCTTCCTCCCTTACTCTTGAATGCGCCTGTGTGTAACCTCGCATGGCATGCTCACATCCCCTCCCCCCCTTCTCTTCCCCTCCCCCCCCTTCTCTTCCCCTCCTCCCCCTTCTCTTCCCCTCCTCCCCCTTCTATTCCCCTTTCCCCCTTCTTCTTTCCCTCCCCCTTTCGCTTCCCCTCCCCCTTTCGTTTCCCCTCCCCCCTTCTCTTCCCCTCCCCCCTTCTCTTCCCCTCCCCCTCCCCCCGTTCTCCCCCCCCTCCCCCCCTCCCCAGGTACTGGGCACGTTCATCACGGAGTGGGGGGAGGGCGCTGAAGTGTGCCGGCAGCTGCTCGCCTCGCGCGCCACTGCCGCCCGCGCTGCCCACCAGCTCGCCCTCGCTCACTGCCACGGCTTCCATGGCTGGCTTGTACGGCTGGGTTGCTGGGGGGGAAGGGGAATCGGGGGGAGGAGAGAGGGAAGGGGAAAGTGGGGAGTTTGTGGGCGTGGGGCTTGTGGGGCAGGAAGGGGGTGGGTGGGACCGTGGGACGAGGTGGGGCGTGGGGTGTTGTCTGATGGGTGAGGTGGGTTTGTTTTAATTGGGTTGGGGGTGCCTGTGGGGGATGGGATGGGACAGTGTTCAGTGCTCCTTGCTGCTGCCTTTCTTCTGGGCCACCTTGCCATGTTGCCATGCTGCACTCTGCACACGTTAGGACGAGTCTCCCCTCACAAGCGGTGCGCTTGGCACTTGCATTGCATCACGTGCATTGCATTATCTCGGCTCACACCAGATCCCGCCATGCACTTCCCTGCTCATTCCTCATCATCACCTCACATCAGCAAGCATCCCTGACACCCCATTGCACCCGACCCCACCGCACCCTACCCCACCGCATGGCACGTGGCAGGTGAACATAGAGAACGCGGTGGAGAAGGAGAGGGTGCCCACGATGCTGCACTTTCTGAGCGCCCTCACCCGCCACATGCACGCCCTCTCGCCCCACGCCCTCGTCCTCTGGTCACCTGCCCGCCCTGTCCACCCTGCTCGTCATGGCCGCCCCATTCCCCTCTGCATCAGACTGCCTTTTGTCTGCTCTGCCATTTGTTTTCCTTGGCTCTGCTGGCTTCACCCCGTCCCTTTTCACCCCCCACCCACCACTTGCTTTATGTCTAATCGCTGAAGTGCATCACTTCTCCATCTTCCCTCTCAACGATCTCTCGTTCTCTCCTTTTCTCCCCTCTCTCACCCACTCTCACTCACCTTCTTCCCCCCTTCTCTCCCCCGTCTCTCCCCCCTTGTCTCCCCATTGTCTCCCCCATCTCTCCCCCTTCTCCCTCCCTTCTCTCCCCCGTCTCTCCCCCCTTGTCTCCCCCTTGTCTTCCCCTTGTCTCCCCCCTGTCTCCCCCGTGTCTCCCCCTTATCTCCCCCTTCTCTCCTCCTTCTCTCCCCCCTTGTCTCCCCCTTGTCTCCCCCTCATCTCCCCCTTGTCTCCCCCTTGTCTCCCCCTTGTCTCCCCCTTGTCCCCCCCTTGTCTCCCCCTTGTCTCCCCCTTGTCTCCCCCTTGTCCCCCCCTTGTCTCCCCCTTGTCTCCCCCTTGTCTCCCCCTTGTCTCCCCCTTGTCTCCCCCTTGTCTCCCCCTTGTCTCCCCCTTGTCTCCCCCTTGTCTCCCCCTTGTCTCCCCCTTGTCTCCCCCTTGTCTCCCCCTTGTCTCCCCCTTGTCTCCCCCTTGTCTCCCCCTTGTCTTCCCCTTGTCTCCCCCTTGTCTCCCCCGTGTCTCCCCCTTATCTCCCCCTTCTCTCCTCCTTCTCTCCCCCCTTGTCTCCCCCTTGTCTCCCCCTCATCTCCCCCTTGTCTCCCCCTTGTCTCCCCCTTGTCCCCCCTTTGTCTCCCCCTTGTCTCCCCCTTGTCTCCCCCTTGTCTCTCCTTGTCTCCCCCTTGTCTCCCCCTTGTCTCCCCCTTGTCTCCCCCTTGTCTCCCCCTTGTCTCCCCCTTGTCTCCCCCTTGTCTCCCCCTTGTCTCCCCCTTGTCTCCCCCTTGTCTCCCCCTTGTCTCCCCCTTGTCTCCCCCTTGTCTCCCCCTTGTCTCCCCCTTGTCTCCCCCTTGTCTCCCCCTTGTCTCCCCCTTGTCTTCCCCTTGTCTCCCCCTTGTCTCCCCCGTGTCTCCCCCTTATCTCCCCCTTCTCTCCTCCTTCTCTCCCCCCTTGTCTCCCCCTTGTCTCCCCCTCATCTCCCCCTTGTCTCCCCCTTGTCTCCCCCTTGTCCCCCCTTTGTCTCCCCCTTGTCTCCCCCTTGTCTCCCCCTTGTCTCTCCTTGTCTCCCCCTTGTCTCCCCTTGTCTCCCCCTTGTCTCCCCCTTGTCTCCCCCTTGTCTCCCCCTTGTCTCCCCCTTGTCTCCCCCTTGTCTCCCCCTTGTCTCCCCCTTGTCTCCCCCTTGTCTCCCCCTTGTCTCCCCCTTGTCTCCCCCTTGTCTCCCCTTGTCTTCCCCTTGTCTCCCCCTTGTCTCCCCCGTGTCTCCCCCTTATCTCCCCCTTCTCTCCTCCTTCTCTCCCCCCTTGTCTCCCCCTTGTCTCCCCCTTGTCTCCCCCTTGTCTCCCCCTTGTCTCCCCCTTGTCTCCCCCTTGTCTCCCCCCTCTCGCCCCTCCACAGGTATGACAGTGTGACGGAGGAGGGCGAGCTGAGGTGGCAGGACGCGCTCACCCCCGCCAACCACTGCTTCTTCCACGCCTGTGACGGCATCTTTACTAACTACTCCTGGAAGGTGCACTACCGCTGCCACCTGCTCTATTGCTGCCAGCTGCGCCGCTCCCCTGCTGCTCTGCTGTCCTACTGCCTTGCTGCTGTGTTTCTTCCGTTCGCTCCCCCCACTCACTTCCCAGCCCCTCTTGCCCCACTCCTCCACTCCCTCATGTCTACACACACACCACATGACAGTGTCATGATGACACTCCACGCTCCACGCCTCTCAAGCGCCCATCACCCGCCCTTGCGGCAACCACCGCCCCTCCCTTCCCTGCCATGCCCTCCCTCCCCACCCTGCCCTCCCTGCCCCCACCACCACACCACCCACACCAGGACCCCGCTAAGGTGCTGTCGTCCGTGGCCCTTGCGGGCAGCCGTGCGCCCGATGTGTTCATGGGCGTCGACTGCTTTCTGGCACCGGGCCGTGCCGCCAGGGGCTTTGACACGGGGCAGGCGGTGGGCGTGGCGCTGCAGGGAGGGGCGTCTGCGGCCGTGTTTGCACCCGCGTGGGTGTATGAGACTCGCCAGGAGGCGAGCTTTGACGCGGCGCAGTAGAGGTGATGGCGGGAGAGGGGTGTGGCGTGGCGTGGCATGGCATGGCATGGCATGGCTTGGCGAGGGACACTCGTTGGGGGGAAGGAGTGGTGGGAAGGAAAGAAGGGTGTTGTGTCACAGGTGTCATTGCTACTTTCCATGCTCCTATTGCCATGCCATGCCTCATGTGTGCTGTGCTGTACTGCATCCATGCACCCTTGTGGTGCAACTTCACAAGTCATTTTCCTCGCACAGTATGCTGCCAACCTACCCTCCATGCATCGTGTCCACTCCCTCCCCCTCTCCCCCCCCGCCCCGCTGCCTGCTTCCGTTGCCCACTTGTCCTTCTCTTTCCCCTCCCTCTGCCCACTCTGCCCCCCTTCCCCCACCCCCTGTTCCACCCTTTGCCACCTTCCCTTTCCCCCTCCCCCTGCCCCTCCCCTTGCCCTTCCCCCCACCCACCAGGCTATGGCACGGCATTCGCACAGCCCTCCACTCGCACCGCTCCCTGCACCCGCACCAACCCTTGCCACCACCCCTCCCACTCCTCTCCTCGCAAGCACAGCAGGGCGGGCAGGGGGATGGGGCAGGGGGGATGCAAGGGACAGAGGGGGTGCAAGAGGGAGACAGGGAGGCAGGTGGAGGGATGAATGGGGCAGGGGAGAGTGGGGACCGGGGAGCTGTGGCAGGCATTGGTGTGTGTGCAGGGGGCGTAGCAAGCGAGCGCAGTGTGGAGTGTGTGGGGGAGTGCGAGAGTGGCTTCCCCCTCTCTCTGCCTCTCTTCACTGCCTTCGACCAGGTGTGTGCACCCGTGCAAGTATGCACCCCATGCAACTGTGCACACGTGCACACCTGCACACCGCATGGCCCATACCATGCCTCTCCTCGCCCATCGCTGAATTTTCTCCAACGTCCCTCCCTTCCCCGCCTCCGTGTCTGCATCACCTCCCCTTCCCCCCTCCCCATCGCTTCCTGCCACTTGCTTTCCGCCCATCGCTTCGCTCCACTCAATCCCCCCCTCTCGATTCCCTCTCCCTCCTCCCTACTATTTCCATCTTCGCCGATCTTTCCTTCCCCCCTGCTCTTTCCCCTCCTCACATCTAACACAACACTCACAGCATTCCCACGCCGCCTCTACCCCCCTCATCCTCTCCTCCCCTCCCTCAGGGCGTCGGCACCAACATGTGGCTGGCTGGCCGCCATGTGGCGAGCTCCCATTGGAGTAACTTCTCCTGCCAGACGTTACGGGTAGGAGGAGCGAGGGAGAGTGACAGGGGGGAAGGAGGAGAGGCAGGCGCGCAGGGCATGGGACAAGGGACAGTGAGAGTATCAGAGTTTAGTGCGTGGGGGTTAGGGTGGGTTGGAAGTTTGCGACAGGGGCTTGGGAGAGGGGAGAGGGAATCTGGGGAGATGCAGTGTGGGGGGGATGGGTCTGGGGTTGGGGGAGGGAGAAGGGAATGTGTATGGTGCAGTGCCGGCGCTGCCAGTGCTGCCAGTGCTGCCAGTGCTGCCAGTGCTTCCAATGCTGCAGGGGGGGGTTGGGGTGGTGAGCAGTGCAGCACCTGTGTGTGTACATGCGTCACACTCCTTGTGACCCTGTCCCCACTTATCCCCATGAGAACACTCCCTGCAATTCCCGACTTCCACGTTCACCATCTCATCAGCTGCCCCCCTTCCCACTCCCACCTGCATTGCTGCTCCCCCCTCTCCCTTCCTCCCCCTCCTCCGCCTCTTCCCCTCCAGCCAGTGCACATGCACACGTCACGGCCACTGCTCTCCACCGAGCCTGCCCATCCCTCCCGCTCCATCCACTGTTCCCTCTGGTACCCTCTCACACACACACACTCCCACCCACCTTGCTTGTCGCACCGCATGGTCGTGTCTGTAGGTTTCAGTGTTATGCCTGCTCATGCTTTTATGGGAACTCGTGTTTGCGCTTCCTGGCACCATGCTGAACGTGTGGCACTATGCGGCATGCATGGTACCATGCGGCATGCATGGCATCGTGCGGCATGCATGGCACCACTACCCTTTGGCGTGGCACCATGGCCTCCCTTCAGCATACATGCTCGCAGTCTCACCCCATACCATTTGCCAGCCCTGCCATGTGCCACAGGCTTCATGGGATGACTATCTCCTCGCCCTCCCCTCACCCACCCCCAACAGGCACGGCACAGCATGGGAAGGCTCTGCTGCCCTCCTCCTCTCCCTCTCCCCTTCTCCGCCCCCCAGGGTAGTTCCTGATTCTCTGGCCAACCAGGCCCCGCCAGATGTGCAGCCAGGGCCAGCCACGTCGGCATGCGTGGTGGATGTGTTTCGGCCGCACGTGCATGTGCAACCAGGCACCACTCTGCATGTGTCGTACTCTGTGAGTGCACGCATGGGAGATTAGGCGAGCAGACATGTACGTGGGTGGGGGGTTGAGCAGATGGGCAGGTGAGCGGGTGGGCAGGTGGGCAGGTGAGCGGGTGTGTTCCATGTCATCTGTGCCCGCATGCATGGTTCGAATGAACGTGGGCTTTCCATCTCACCGCCCATCCATCCCCATGCGTGTATGTATCATCCTGTTCACACTCTCTCCACACCTCACCCTTCATTACTCATTTTCCCTTTCCTCCATGTGTCTATTCAACTCGTCCGTATCTCCCTCCCTGCCGGGCCCATCTCTCTCACTCCCTCTCTGTCTCTCTGCTCCCCTACCACCGACCGACCCACAGGTGGTATCGCCCCCTGCCTTCATCGCCTGTCTAGCCCTCTCCTTCACCCGCGTGCCAACTCACCAACCTAATCACCACCGTCCCACCGACCCCACACCTCCCGCTCTCACCGCCCCAGACTCTCCCCCTCCCTCCACCATACTGCTCCTTCCACCGCCACCACACCCACCTTCCCTCCCTCACCCTTTCGCCCCGCCATCCCTCTCCTCCCTTTCCGCCTCCCCCTCCGCCTCCCTCATCTCGTGCCTCTTTCCCACAGCCATCCGCCCTTCCCCCTCGCACCTCACCCCCCCCACCACCACTGCTAGCGAGACTCCACATCCTCTGTGCGCTTCCCACTCTGGGGAACGCGGGAGGGAAGAGGTGGAGAAAGGAGGCACACAAGGAAGAGCAGGGGAGAGTGCGGAGGAGCGTGGGGCAGGGAGGGAGCAGGGGGGATCAGGAGGGGCGGTATGGGAGGTGCGCGAATTCGAAGTGCCGTGTATAGCCAATCACGTGCTGACAGGTGTACACGTGCTGCTGGTGGGTGTGGGTGATGTGGGTGATGTACCTGCTGGTGATGCAGCAGCAGGCAGAGGGGGTGACAGGGAGCATGCACCATGTGACACCGTGGATAAGGAGGTGATGTCTGGGGGACACAAGGGCGCTTCTGATTGGCTCGTGGATGTGTGCAGGGCGGCATGGATTGTAGGGTCCTCCTCGCTTGCATCTTCACCTGTGGCTGTGGGGGGTGGGGGTGGGAATGGGGATGGGGATGGGGATGGGGATGGGGAACGGGGTGGGGGTGGGGATGGGGTTGGCGTGTGCGATAGTGATGATCCAGCTGCCACTGATACTGGCGAGCCCACATCAGCAGCACCTGTTGCCTCAGCAGCACGGGAAGCAGCAGGTCCAGCCGCGCCCACCCCAGAGGGCTCAGAGAACAGAGAGGGCGGAGAGGCGCCAGCCCCAGCAGCGAAAGCCCCTGCACATGCTGCCCTGCCGTGCCCCCGCCCTGCTGTGCTGCCAGCAGCTGCAGCAGCAGCGGTGGGGCATGTGCGCGTGGCAGCAGAGGCTGAAGCTGCGTGTGTGGCTCGATGGAAGGTGGGAGAGGTGCACGCTGAGCAGGTGTGGTGGATTCGGGGGGAGGTGAGGCAACACGATGGAGTGGAGAGGACAGGAGGAGAGGAGAAGGCGGGGAGAAAGGAGGGAGGGGGGAGAGAGGAGGAGGCGGGGAGTGGCGGGGCAGAAGGCAAGGCAGAGGTGGGCTTACAAGGGGAGGTTGAGGAGGATGGTGAGTGCGGGGAAGGGAATGAGGCGGAGGGGAATGAAGGAGGGAGCAAGGGGGCGTTCTTGAGCATGGTGCTGCACTGGACTCCCGATGGTGGTGCCATGGACTGTGAAAGTGCAGGCGATGCCATGCTGCAGCAGCAGCAACAGCAGCAGCAGCAGGAAGGTACCTGGAAGCTGTGCAGTGACCATGGACCCGTGAGCTGCAGGTATGATGTGCTGGCAGCGTTTGATTGGCTGGGGGCTAGTAAATCGACTGGAGGCGGAGGGCAGCAGGTTGAGCAAGAGAAGTTACCTGTCTCAGATTCAGCATCAACAACGGCAGCAGCATCAGCACCAACCACAGCAGCAGCAACAGCACACACAGCTGCCCCTGCTCCATCTACGAGTGCAGTTGCAAGCGCAGGAGCAAGGCTTGCAGACTCCCCCTTGGCAGCGCGGCTGGCCTCTCTGCACTGGCAGTGGCTGGGAGCGGCTCATGTGCCGTCCTTTGTTGTGGACTCACTGCCCCTGCCACCTGCAGCTGTTACAGCTGACGGGGGAGAAGGGCCGGGTGAGGGGGAAGATGGAGCAGCAGCGAAGGATGAGGGGAGTGGGGTGTCAGTGCCAGTGGTGCCGGTGGTGCTGGTGGTGGTGCGCCCGCGCTGCCTGCTGTGTGGTGCTGCCCCGGCTGTGGAGGACTGCCCCTGGCTGCTGCTCCACAGGCCATGAGCATCGAGGAGATGCCTCAACGCGCCTGTCTCCTTATACCTTGGGCATCGGTTACGGTATGATCTAGTCTAGTCGACTGTCTACCGCCGCTTCGAGGTGTCTTCGCGCACAAGCTTCACTTGGAATAAAGAGATGAGTACGAACATCTGCAATAGTGTCTGTACATGCCATGCCATGAATACACGCCTACCTATTGATCCCAACATATTTACAGAGAATGCACATTGCCACTGAGGTGTAAAATATAGCCGTGAATAGCAATCGAGCACATGTCCTAGTAGAAACAATCTCCAATTCGAGCACCGTCATAGTTGGGTAGGCACACTTTTGTCCCAGGCGTCATACTATCAACGCATTCATACCCATTGATCTTCCTATAGCACCCCTTGATGGACTGAAATTGCGTGACTTGGACACTTTGGCAGGTGTCGGTTGGCTTGAAATAATACTCGTTGTCCGTTGGACATGTTCCAATGGCAAAAGAACTGGAGCTCCTGATGCAGATCTGCATTTGCAAAAACAAGGAAAATGATTTCCTTCAACATCAGAATGCTGCAACCCACAACCATACCAGCAACACAACCCCGCACAACCAAACAGGAACGTTCCATTCAGCAAGACAACGTACCAGTATCTCCCGCTCAAGGGGCCGCTGGAACTCAAAGTTCTTTGCTGGAATGGGCTGGTTGCACTTGATGCCGGGGTTGAGCCGGTACAGCTCCATGGGGTTGAGCGGAGGTACGGCCGTGTTCCTGATGCTGTCACACGTGTCGTTTGCCCACGGCCGGTGGTACTCCTCACACACTGCTATGCGGTTTGCCTTGGCGGGGTCCCTCTCCATGCACACAGCCTGGGAGGGCCTCAGGGAGGAGCAGTCCACAGCGGGGTTGAGCGCCTGAAATGCCGCCTCACACTCCGCATCCGCCGCCGCCGCCCCACACAGCTCCACCTGCCGCGCCACCCCCATGCACGAGTCGCCCTGGGGATGAGGTGGGCGAGAAGAGGAGGGGGGAGGAAATGGGGGTTGGGGGGGGGGGGCGTTTATAACTACAAGAGTCAAAACTGGTGGGGGAACATCCAATGCATTGGCGCAGTCAGGGGTCCTCCCACTGACGCAGCCGTTCCTACTAACTCGCTTGCTGTAAGGGATGGCACCCCACTGACTCGAGTTGTAAGGGAAGGCATGTCTACTACCGTATTGTGCAGTTGCGGAGAAGATATGGGCCAGAACAAAGTAGAGTACGGAGGAAGAGCAGAGGACGCAGAGAGGGAGGGGGTTTACTGCGTTGGTGCTGTAGAAGACACTGCAGTCACGGACGCTGGGGATCACATAGACCTCGGTGTTGATGCGTAGGGGCTTGCCACATGAAACTCCCTGCACGTGTGGCAACTCGAGAGAAACAGACATGGACAAGTTAAACTGCAGTGCTCATGTGCCATAACATATCGTGGGCGGATGAAATGAGAGATGTGAGTAGGCATTCCTCGTGTGTGTGGTGGTGATGTGTGACGGTGCTGACCTTGTTGAGCAGCAGGAATCTTGTGAGTGAGAGGCTGAAGACAGCTGTGATGTGCGAGCACATGATGTTGTCCGCTAACACTTTGTACTTGCCCTGCGCCTGACCTGCAAATACATACACAGGAATACACATGGAACAAATCAGACGAGTTGGAAAACAAGCACATGGTTGAAGAAAGCACTGCATGGTGAATCCAATATGCCCCCCTATGAGGGATCTCCTATGCATGCGGACGCATCTGGGGCACTCCGAACATAAATTATATAACAAGAGCATTTGAGGGACATACGAGTGCAATTCATGGCCGTGGAGTGGATGCAAGCAGAAAAAGGAAGCACGATTGTTACCAGGAGTGCATGAGAAGCCTCCACCGACCATGGTGCCTTGAATGAAGCCCCATGGACACACACAGGAGTAGCTGCCCTTGCCATCGTTCACACACGTGCCCACCACACACGGGTTGTGACTGCTGGACCCACACACATCCACTGGGGGGAAGCGCCATGGGAGTATATATGGATGAGGGTGTGGTATAAGCATGAGGGTATATGCATGAGGGTGTGGTATAAGCATGAGGGTATATGCATGAGGGTGTGGTATAAGCATGAGGGTATATGCATGAGGGTGTGGTATAAGCATGAGGGTATATGCATGAGGGTGTGGTATAAGCATGAGGGTACATGCATGAGGGTGTGGTATAAGCATGAGGGTATATGCATGAGGGTGTGGATGACAAATGTGTAGACGCCGCCAATGCCATTGAAATCAGCTGAATTCAATGGCAGCAACAGTGCAGACACTGCCTCAGCTTGAGTGAACTTGATAGCAGCATGCATGTATGTCACGAAAGGAGGCGGAAGCATAGTAGGTAGAAGGGGTTGCAGTCTAAGGAAGGTAGAAACTTAGATAGAAACAAGGCACTGGCATAAAATGACAAGCCCTCCATTCTGCAAGAAGAGACACTGGCTGGCAGTCCAACGTAGAAATGACAACCGAAGTAAGATACTTCGATGCGGCCTTGCGTGGAAGCACTGTACAAAAGTAAGCACAGTGCTACAACAGTGTGTGAACAGACTTACATAACCGTGAGACCACGTATAAACAATGAGGACAGTGCCTTGAGCAATACATCACCATAAAAACATGTACACATTACCAAAAGAAAAGGTGTACATTACCATACACACAGTAGGACATTACCATAGGCACAGGTGTACGACCCATCGGTGTTCTTGACTTGAGTGAAGTGCGCATCAGAGCACATGCAGCGATTGCTGGTGCCCTTCTTGCTGCACGGGTACTGCCCACATGGGTTGAATGCGGCGCCCATAACCGAGTCCTTGAATGACCGCGACCCACACTGATCCGCATTGCCTGCATGGCAAGGGTTGTGCAGCAAGACGCGTGGCATGGTTTTTTATTACGATGGATCAGCACTGCCTGCTTACTTGAGCGTGGTGCATGGGTGTATGTACAGCATGGTGTGTGGGGCAAGAAGCCATGGGATAAAGGTGATGGGCATGGTGTGCGCATGGGTAAGTATGGGTATGGGAGAATGAAAGGAGCAGTCACTATCCTTGGTGATAGGTTGAATTGAACCCGCACACGAATCACTAACCTGGCCTTGTGATCCATACCATAGGCGGGGGCAGGAGGCATGACCCACATCCCCATCAAGGCAAAGTGGACTGAAATCATAATTACACAAAGGTACTTTTGACAGGGCACGTGGTCAAGTCCTCACTTCTGACGACAGGGAAGAGGCCCGGGAGAGTGTTGATGCCGCAGATGCCGTCGCCACTGCGAATGTCCATGCGCATGTGGCCCTGGTCGCCCCACCCTGTGCCCCATGAGTTGCGGATGACCCAGAAGGGCGGCGGCAGGTCGGGCTTAGCAGGGTCGACTCCAGATACCAGATAGCCCACTACCAACACCGCATGGTTGAGATGCTCTGTGAAACACTCCTCATCAGCGTATTTGTCGCTCTGAAAGGAAGGATAGCAGGGAACGAGCGCAAGGGATGACCGCCAGCGGGTCACAGAATATAACATCAGTGTGAGGGATTATAACACCTCCTCACTGCCGAGAATTCAGTATTCTACTCCCTAATACCACTGGCAGGTAACATGTCAAACCAATCCGTCCTCTTCACACTCCTCCCCAGTAGCTGAAACCACCGACTTAAAGCTCCAGTATACATTTGTCAGTGGGGTTTATGGTTTGTATTGTGTGCCTCACAGTTCTGGGGCAACTTTTCAAATTTCTAAAGATTTTGAACCCTTTCTTTCAAATGTATACTGAAGCTTTAATCATCCTCTACTTACCCTATCCATCTCAGCAGCGAGATCCTACTACTCATAGCCTCTCCCCTCAATCCTTCCTGTCTTCCTTTGCTAAACTCCACCCAGCATTTGCTGGCAACTTTGTTCAAGGATGGCAAAGTCCTCACAGCCTCGCACTGTGGACATATTCTTCCTCGCACTATACAAATACACGTTTGAGGTCCAGGTTATCTTCGCTTCTTGCGTTAAGCACAACATTAAGAAGTCTTCAACCCATAAATTCTGGTCATATTTAGATTGAGGGTGCATTACCTTACCTGGACTTAAAAGGAGGGTGCCTTACCGCATCGTAGTCTTGGAAGGAGGGTGCCTTACCCCATCGTAGTCTTGGAAGGAGGGTGCCTTACCCCATCGTAGTCTTGGAAGGAGGGTGCCTTACCCCATCGTAGTCTTGGAAGGAGGGTGCCTTACCCCATCGTAGTCTTGGAAGAAAGGTGCCTTACCCCATCGTAGTCTTGGAAGGAGGGTGCCTTACCCCATCGTAGTCTTGGAAGGAGGGTGCCTTACCCCATCGTAGTCTTGGAAGGAGGGTGCCTTACCCCATCGTAGTCTTGGAAGGAGGGTGCCTTACCCCATCGTAGTCTTGGAAGGAGGGTGCCTTACCCCATCGTAGTCTTGGAAGGAGGGTGCCTTACCCCATCGTAGTCTTGGAAGGAGGGTGCCTTACCCCATCGTAGTCTTGGAAGGAGGGTGCCTTACCCCATCGTAGTCTTGGAAGGAGGGTGCCTTACCCCATCGTAGTCTTGGAAGGAGGGTGCCTTACCCCATCGTAGTCTTGGAAGGAGGGTGCCTTACCCCATCGTAGTCTTGGAAGGAGGGTGCCTTACCCCATCGTAGTCTTGGAAGGAGGGTGCCTTACCCCATCGTAGTCTTGGAAGGAGGGTGCCTTACCCCATCGTAGTCTTGGAAGGAGGGTGCCTTACCCCATCGTAGTCTTGGAAGAAAGGTGCCTTACCCCATCGTAGTCTTGGAAGGAGGGTGCCTTACCCCATCGTAGTCTTGGAAGGAGGGTGCCTTACCCCATCGTAGTCTTGGAAGGAGGGTGCCTTACCCCATCGTAGTCTTGGAAGGAGGGTGCCTTACCCCATCGTAGTCTTGGAAGGAGGGTGCCTTACCCCATCGTAGTCTTGGAAGGAGGGTGCCTTACCCCATCGTAGTCTTGGAAGGAGGGTGCCTTACCCCATCGTAGTCTTGGAAGGAGGGTGCCTTACCCCATCGTAGTCTTGGAAGGAGGGTGCGGACGCCTCGATGTGCACAATGACAGGCTGGCGCTGCACTGCCAGCATGAGCCCAAACCACCCGTAGAACCCCGTGCGCTCGATGCCGCGGATGCCATAGTACGTGGGTGTGCTCGCCTGTAGGCAGGGAAGAGGCACCAAGGGAGGAGCGAGAGGTGGGGAACGGAAGGAGAGCATCACAAGAGTAGCAAAATCACAATGGCACCCTAAAAGGTGCACCAGTAGCAGCTCAGCTCACGAACCAGTGATCTGCCCTTGAGGGGGAGGCCTTGAGAGTACGCAGCCTCCTCCAGCAGCCCCTTGCCGTGCGCGGTGGCGTTGAGGAGGAACTGCAGCGCCTTGGTGGGCGAGCCACCGTCGCAGTTGGAGGAGAGGGCGAGGCGCAGATGCTCCACCGACAGCACGGGGGGCTGCGCCCAGTTGCTCGCGATCCTGTAGGCTGCCTCCACCGCTGCCACCACTGCGTATGCCCATGAGTCCGCTGCCAGTAGAAGAAAGACGGGAGAAATAAACAATGTCATTACTGTGCTAACAAGCGTGGAAAGTGACTGCTAGAATCGGGCTGCAAATTTGCGTACTCAAATCTGTTTATCAATCTATTATGTGTGAATTTCTTTTCGAAGCGGCTCGGCATGGGCATCAAGTCGAGCTGCAGCACGATCTGTCTGGCCTAGACACCTGGCAGGCAAAATGCGAACTTGAGAGGCGCAAGCTGGTGCGCATCTGGTGGGTAGGCAGGGTTGCCTCAAGCTGACCAGCTAGGCTTTAGGTGGGCCTGAATCGACCCCATCTTATGGGGCCCCACTGAACCGGCTCAGTTTGGCTAGGTCGACTGGATGACGAGAAGGGTCCGGCTCGAACCAATCCAGGCTCAGCCCAGCTGGTCCTCAGTCTGATCTTTACCTTCTAGAACATTTTGACCTTACAAGGCGAGAGATTGGAACAAACGCATTCCCAGTGTACCCCTGTCAATCTAACCTACTGCTCACTCATGCGCGCCACATGGCAGATGAGAATGCACCCGAATGTTTACCTTGCCTGTATGCCACTCACCGCAACCCTTCTGGTTCTTGACAGGCCACATGGCCTCGGGCAAGACCCAGGTGCTGTAGGACCTGACAGCCCAGGCGGGGCTGTTGTCCTGCGCGGGGTCGAAGCCCGCACTGGCGTAGTGGAAGGAGTTGAAGCCCTGCGATGAGAAGGAGTCCTCGTCCAACACAAACCCCAACGCCAGGTCTGGTGGTGCGATTGAGAAGATTAGCACACATTAACATACACATGTCGAGCGATGCTTGATGTGCGGGAGGTGCCAAAAGGGCAGTGCATTGTGCAATACTGTAATAAAACGTCCGGGACGACAGACATAGAGCTGTGCATCTACAGGTGCATGGTGAGCAGAGAAGAAGGCCACACTTCGACATGCTATGTCCCCCCCAGTTAACAAACTCTTATCAACTCAGTCATGCCCCCCCACTCAATTATGCTGCCCCATTCAGCTAAGCTAACATACAAAAAAAAAAAAAAAAAAAAAAAAAAAAAAAAAAAAAAAAGAGAAACGAATGCGAGAAGCCATCGGATGTTAGTTACCTTGAGCATTGAGAGAAGGCCGTCGTGGTAAGCCTGCAATTCGACAGGACGCAAGGCAAGAATGTGAAGCCTTAGTGCAATCAGCACAAAATGAGAAATAATTTCTTATACGCATTGTTATCACACACTTCAGCTGCAAGAGAAGCAAAACATGAGCGTATGCGTTAACAGGTCCATGCCTAGCGTGTTTCTTTAAACGGCAGATGGTTGTTGCTGTGTATACAGTGTGCGTGTGTGTGTACACGTGTGTGTGTGTGTGTGTGTGCGTGCGTGTGTGTGTGTGTGTGTGTGTGTGTGTGTGTGTGTGTGCATGTGTGTGTGTGTGTGTGCTTATGGTTGTGCTATTGCAAATTTGCACTCCAAATGCCGTGTCGATGAGTTATTGACTGTGTAATTAGGTGATAGACCATACCTGTAAGCATAGCAAAATATCTGACCAGTGTATCTCGTCTCCTGCACAAGGGTCAATGACCCAACTAACAGGTGATCAAACCCCACCTTCCTTCATGGCAATAATCCGCACCTGTCACGATTTCCCACTTCAAGATGACGTTTTCTTGGGCTGCTTCCGTATTTGATGCTACGAAGCTGAAAAAGAAGTTGGTCTCCACAGCAGTTGGCTGCAGAATGGAGCAGAGCGACACTCGAGCTCGGAGGGTGGGGGTGGGGGGCTGCTGGGGGTCGGAGGAGAGGAAGACTCGGAGGGTGCCGCCACTGGTGGGGTCGTAGTGGATCCAGGCGTGCTTGGTGTGGGCGTCGTTGAGGATGAGAGGGGCCGTGGCAGAGGCGAGGGACACAGGTGAGCCGCCCACATTGACGCCCACGTGGTTGTCGTTGGGGTCGCTGTGCTTCACACTCAGCACCGAGTCAAACTCCACCGCCACACTCCGCTTCCCCACCCCTCCCATCCCCACCCCTGCTGCAGCCCCCTGCGGTGCCACCGCACTCACAACAAACGCCAGGCCTTCTCCCGCCATGCCCGGGCCTCCTGGCGTCACAGCCTTCATGGCAAAGCTTAGGGAAACGTTGAAGGCAAAGGGCGTGCCGCACGGGCCAGGGCTGTCAATGAAGTGGAAGAGGCGGATGGGCTTCTGCAGAACGGCTGCTCCTGATGTGTTGGCGGCTAGTGGGGTGAGGATGAGGGTGCCGTTGAATAGCTGTGTTGCTGCTGCGGTTAAGGAGACCGGCGTTGATTGTGACGACTCCGTTGACGGGAGGACTGCAGGCATCAGGCATCAGACATCAGGCATTGAGGGCGTATCCCTGGGTGGTGGCAGGGCCACTGTAGATGGCAGCCTGCCACGAACCCCTAAAACGCCAAGTTGGTGTCAGGAAAATTGGCGCGCAAATACACGTTCGTGATTGGGCAATGTCCCAGAAATGTCATTTCAATGCCACCAATTTCGGGTCGCGCGCGCTTCGGGCAAAATGTTGGTGGCATGCGGTTTTCCCGCATGCCACCAACAGTGCCTGCTACAGTGGCCCTGCCACCACCCAGGGATACGCCCTGAGAAGGCATTGTTGCAATGAGTTTTGTACATGGGGAATCGTACACTGAGAGGATAACGGCAAACAATTCTTCACAAGTGTCCAATGCATACCACTGTAGGCGCAGGAGTGGGGTCCCGCCTGGTTGTCAAAGTTGCTATCGCACGTGCACGCCGATTCCTGCACAGACGCATTGAAGGAGCACACGCCATGCCCGCTGCACAGGGGCTTGGTGTCCCCAGCTGCAACCCCACAGAACGCTGCACACTCCTCTGCACTCCTCTGGCGCTCATATTCCCCAGCCACCATGGATGCATTGAGGAGACAGTTCTGAAAGGCGTTTGAAAAGAAGGTGAGGTTATTCTTGGGCGGAACGACAGTGCCGTGGGTGAAGTAGTTGCGGTGGGCGTAGTAGAACTGCAGGCGGGGTGATGGGGGTGCAGGCAGCCGCCCCGTGAACTGGTTGCTGGAAATGTCGCTGTGAGGGAGGCAGGAAAGTGAAGTGAAGGGCGGTGAGGAGGAGAGGAACAGATGGAGTATTGTGCGAGAAACCAAAGTCATAATTAGCGGGGCTTTGCAGGCCTCGCAGAAGAAGCAGTGGGTCGCACACACAAGAGATCAAGGATTGCTTGCCAGAGTGATTCAAGGATTGCACTGGAGCACTGAAGGGTATGGGATCAAGTAGAGTGTCAATCAGTTTATCGTATCACAACACAACACAGTCAATCAGTTTGTTGACTGAGAGGTCCCCATGCTTCTGCTGCACTGATGCTCTTGCTGTACATGGTATTTTCCCTCTCTCTGTTGGATGATCTGCCATGCTGGCCCTCCCGTATGCACTCACAGTGTGAGCAGGTTGGTCATGGTGCTGGTGATGCCATACATGTCGCCTGAGAGAGAGTTTCTGTTCATAAGGCTGATGGGTTGCACGCCAGATGGGAAGCAAACGGCAGACAGAGTGCACCGCAAGTGATGCTTCAGACTCTTACTCAGCACTGTATGACTCTTAGGGAGCACCAGAAGCTGCAGTGAAAAATGCAGAATGATGCAGCTACCATACTGAAAGCTAGTCTGGCCCGCACTTACAGGAGGCCTAGACTCTGCAGGTTTGAGTATGATCTGGGAACGGTGCCGGTGAGGTGCATGCTCTCCAGGTACCTGCGGGCCACAAACACATACCATATCAATCGTGCTGCATCAGCAACTAATCCGACAAGGCTATCCGGGATGTGATGTGAAGCAAAAGAAATCTTCAGTGCAAGCACATGTGGTATCCCCAACACAGCTTGTTCATATAAGAGATTCGTTATACTCTGCTTTTTGCTGTTGCAATGTACTATAAACCGGACATGGTTATGTGAAATAGCTGCCCAGAAGCAGAGCAGATGTGAAGGGCGCATGGAAGTGGGAAGGGACACCAAAGACAACAGGAAGGTTAAGAAGAAAAGGCTGCGTTACGAAAAAAATCAAGATGAAAAAATGAAACGGAGAGGGCGGTTATGAGGTTCGCACATGACATCAAGGCGAGTGAGGCTTCCAATTGATGAAGGCAGGGTCCCAGATATGTTTGTCCATGCCAACTGCCTGTGTTGGTGCGAGTCGCAGAAAGGGAGTTACCAACTGAGTTGCCTCTCTCATAGTGTATATTGACTTTTCCATGCATTTTTGTTACGCAAGGAGCTGTTATCTTGTGTAACGTTTCTGCTCATAGCAGACTGGAAAACATAGTAGTATCCTCTTAGTGTTTCAAATGGCTCAGCAGAAATCACCAACAAGAATCTACGCTGCAATAATCGTTTTTTTACACCTTCATGTGAAGGCGCACTTGAAATAAGCAATACCATCGGGAGAATAGTCGCTTCAAACGTTGAGGCAAAATGAAAAGTTGCTTCGCTACGCTGCTGGCAACAGCATGTTCACATCTCACAGGGTGCGTAGCCGGCTGAGTGCTCCTAGTGAAGCAGGAATAGTGCCATTCAAGCTGCTTACTCCAAGATTGCTGACCAAATTGGTAGGGGAGATAAAAGACAAAGATAGGCAGGGGTAGGGGGGCAAGGCAAGAGGAGGACCTGAGAGACACAGAAGCGGGGGACAGTGATGAAGAGCTATGGTAAGAATGAGGTGGATGAGATAATGCTGCTATTACACTACACATTCACATCACATGGCAGGGCAACCAACTCATACTAAAGAATTGGCAGACAGGCAAATTAGGCCAGAGCTCCAGCCACCAACAAGTTCGTCACAATGGCAAAAGATGGTAGACGGAACGGAACACCCGCCAAACTCATCATTTCCCAACACCCCTTCCTTCGCCCCCCTCTCTTCCCCTTGAAAAATTCGCTGCACACTTGCTAACCTCCCCCCAGCAGAGCCGGAGCCCGCTTGTTAGGAGACACCTGCATGGACCTTCACCAAATCCATGGGGCCTCTGCTGACGACACTGTGATGAATTCTAGCTGCATCCACCAACTTACAGTTCCTGTGATGGAATATGGTCGCATACGTATGGGAATTCTCACTCTCTCAGTACCTGCTCCTTCACTGAATACCAGGTCTCTTCCTTTGGGGCATCACTGTATCTGTATGTGGATGTGCAGTGAAGAGGCACCGCCTCTTCCTCCCTGCGTTGCTCCCATCCTCACTTGCATGAACGCCACTCTTTGGGTTATGACTCACAGTGCTTCCAGGTTCACTAGGCTGAAGAGCTCTGCAGGAATAGACCCTTCAAGGAGGCGGTTCTGTCCAATGTCACTGCATACACGAAAGTAGAATTTCAGAATGGATGGTTTCAGAAATGAGGTATTTCCAGAACGGGTGGTTTCCAGCTGGTGCTGAGTGCAATGCAAGTGCACAAACACCATGGGAGGAACATTTGAAACCAAGCGAAAGGGCCCTGTAACCCTGTGCTGTAACGCAGTGGTGCAATATCTCACAGGATTCATTACGCTTTGATGGAAGCCTTGACAAGTTCGTAGTATTCGTGAACGTACAGTGTGGTAAGTTGTGTCAGGCGGCTAAGTGAAGCTGGTATGGTGCCATTTAAATAATTCCCTCGTATCTGGCTGCAAGGTAGGGTTTCAAGAGAGATATGTGGAAGAACAACTTTCAATACCTCGAGAAAGCAGCTCTCTCAATGCTTGAGAGGTGCTGGTGCCCAAATTCGTGCCATGGAATGGAGCAGAGATTTTCTTGTGTGCACGCAGGAGCTGGGTGAAACAGCAAAGATCAAACTCTTGAAAACAGGAATCAAACTGTATGCAGGGAATGATCCCTCTCTCTTTGTGGCTGGGGATTAAGGCTTCAGAGGCACTAAAGCGGTTTGAAAAGACCAGAACATCACCCGCGGGGCGTGTTGGCAATGTGAATCTGTGAGAGGCATGAGCGTTGATGGGCATGGGCACGTACAGGCTACTCAGGCTGGGCATTGTGGATATCCAATCAGGAATGGTCCCATGCATGCCCGTCGCACTTAGGTCCCTGTGCACCTCAGCACAACGAGGGGGGGAGGAGCGGGGGAAGGGGAGAGGGGGGTGAGGGAAGGGGAAAGAGGGTGCGGATCGGAGGGGGGAAGAAGCAAGGGATGGTAAAGAGCATGCATATTCCGCTCAATGTGGCAGCCAGAGACACTATGGTAGGAATACATACACTGCAATGCAACGCCTAGGTTCATACAAGGCAATGCTAGGTTACAGAAGCACTACAAGTTCTTTGAAAGAAATCATCCGATGAACGCAAAGCATCATTTCATAATGAATGAATGAAGCATCCACGTGCTTACCAGGCTAGCTAGGGTGTCAGACTCACAACTTCTGGAGGGTGGTGATAGAGCCGATAACAGAGGGGATGGTTTCCATAAGCATATTTCCCACGAGGTTCCTGGTCATGGGCCACACACACATGCTCCGGTGAGTGCTTTTCTACTTTATGTATGAGCACTGGCGCAAGTGCTTTGTTGATTGAGAATCAATGTAATGGCACACGATACCATCTGACTTCTTTAGTATGCTTGTCCGTTGTCCCCGCAACAAAACCAATGCCTCATGAACTTTTCCATTGCCAGCACAAGCCTAACCTCTGCCCACGCTCTATGAGCTCAAACCTCTCTACTTTCAACTGGTTCAAACCACAAGTGTGCACATTACAGCGATATGAGTTGGCCGAGGTGGGAAAGTGCCTCGGGTAGCGGTCCAAACAAGTAGTTCTCGTTCAGGTTGCTGCAGACGACCGTCGATGCCATGCGTGCACAGTATAGAGGGATGGATTGCAGAGTGAGTGCGACAAGACGGCAAACGAGAGCGGGCATGGTAACAATGCACCGGACCAAGCGAGAAGCCCATGTTATGCAAAAAATAAGGAGCAACTACACAGTGGTTGTGTGGCGGCACTGACAGGTATGTGAGGCGTGAGAGCTTGCTGATGCCGTCTGGTATGGCACCGTACAGAATATTCGTGCTCAGCTGCCTGCTCCCATGCGCACACAGGGATGGGCAGGCACGGAGATGGATGGGGGGTTGGGAGTGCGATGGTGAGGTACAAGGAAGCAGTGGGAAGCAGAAGGAAGCAGAAAGGTGTCAGAGACGAGGAAGAGGAAGGGGGAGGGAGGAGGAGGGGAATGGGGGAGGAGGGGGGATTAGACGGTCAGACTGACAAGGGTATGCAGACAGAGATCTGTTACAGATAGCGATCAGTAGGACATGCGTGGTATAACGAGAGGAGAATGTGTTACAGGTGGTGCAGGAGGAGCAGGAGGTGGTAGTGCTGCATGCACACTGTAGTGCGAGTGATGGCAGCAGCAGAGTCCCACCTCAGTGTGAGGACTCATCAGCTCCTTCAGGGCACCCGAGTTGCACTGCAGGTCCAGTGAGAACCATGGTCGTCCAGTGACTGCCATTTTCCCTCCCACCTATCATCATCACGTTCGTTTCTGTTCTACCTCTTCACTCCTTTCCTTGGAATAGCAGGCTCAATCTGCAACTGCAACAAACCCTAATTCCGGCCACTGCCTACATGCACTGCTCCAATCCCCAGCCCCTGGAGAGGCACCCAGACGCAGAGAGCACCCAGCGAGCACGCAGAGAGCACGCACAGAGCACGCAGTGTGCACGCACAGGCCCTTGAGAAGTGGTAGGTTGAAGAGGCCCGAGGGAAGGTAGCCCACTAGATGACTGGCCGTGATGGATCTGACGCACAGGGAGGGGTGGGGGTGGGGGGGGTGGATGGGACGAGACACGGGAAAGGCGGGAGGAAGGCGCGATGACACTCAAGGGAGCTGAAGTGCATCGACTAGTAGGCTATACTAAAAAAAGACCGAATGAGTGGATGAAAGAGAATGCAGGAAACTACCTAGAGAACGTGCAGAACAGAGGTCTGGGAATGCGTGAAACTACTCAGTGCCCGCGGTAGCCCGCAGCAGCCTTTTGCAGTCCATGTGCACTTTGCACTTCTTCCCGTAGCCTAGCTTGTTTGTTTGTTGCTGTTCCACTCCATACTCACAAGCCACGACCACTTACAGGAATGTGAGATGCTGCAGGCCGCTGATTTCGTGTGGGATGAAGGCCCGCAGGTCGTTGCTTGATGTTGACCTGATGACGCACATCATGTTGAGTACAAATCATGTCATGTCATGTTGCACACAGTGACGCACATCCTGGTGCCTGATGTTGAACTGATGATGCACATCACGTCGAGTAAGGGCGTATCTTTGGTTCGGGTCATGCACTGTTTGGGTCATCCGAGATTCTTGGAAGACCAATCAGGCGCATTTTAAATACACTACTCTAATCCCATTGGTCCTCCCATGACCCCAAAGTGTACTGATGACCCAAAGTGGCCTTATGACCCGAACCAAAGATACGCCCTAAAGTAGTATCCCTGACTTTAGATGAGCGCTTGTGCTAGTGGGGTGTGTGCAGAGTAACATTGGCTACCGGATCCAACATTGCATGTGTGGCAAAGACAAAATGTGTTAACGCAGTATACAGGACGTGACATGCAATGAAGCATGAGTTGGGAGGGATAAGTCTGCACGATTACTCACAGTGAGACCACATAGCCATTGGTATCGCACGTGATGCCCTGCACTGTGGAGCAGTCGCTGTTGGGCGACCACGTCTTACCGTCCGCAAAGCCATTCCACGCCTCCAGCAGCTGCTCCAGCACGCTGACTGAGCGCGTGGGAGGCACGGAGAGCAACATGGGGCAGGAGGAGAAAGGTGACGTATAGGCATGGAGACAGACAGATGGACGAGTAAATGCTAACAAACAAGCCCGGTGTGATGGACTGACGGGTGGACGGATGGATGTGCGTAACAGACGGGTGGGTGGACTTATGGACGGATGGGCGGGTGAAGTGAAAGGACGGGCAAATGGACGGGCGGAGGGACGGAGAAATGGATGTGCAAATCAGGATTGAGGGAGTGAGGGCGGGCCGTAAGCAGGCGGTACACCCGCAGATGGGAACGTCTAATTTTGGACCGACATTCCCCCGGAGGGAAGATTGGATTGTTTTTGGTATTCAAATTAAGGAGGGTGGGAGGGGTGGATGGGAGGAGGGAGGGGTGGATGGGAGGAGGGAGGGAGAGAGAGGAGCAAGACATGTTGGAGGAAGAACGTGGAGGTGGTGAAAGAGGATAGCGAGGAAGGCGTACAGTGAACAGTGAAATCGTTTCACCAAGTGCATGATGCACTCCCGCCCCGCCCAAGTGCATCACCAACACAAGGTATAAAGTGATTCCTAAAGACTAGGTTCTTCACCTGTAATACTCCTAGAACATGCGTGTCCGGAATAAACACATGATAATATGTTGTAGAGACAACTTCCACGAGAGACTTTGAAAAGGAGATGAGCTAAAAATGAAGAGAGACGATATATGGGCAAGATAACGACGCAAGCCAAGGAAATGCTGAGTTTCCTAGCCTCAGCGGTCACACCGCGCCGCCGCGAGGTTCACGTGCATCCCTTGCCCGCACTCACAGTCTGAGGCCTGTATTCGCCGCGCCGTCGCCACTGTCGTGCCATTCGGCGAGCAGGTAAGCAGCAGAAGAAGCAAAAAAAGGTTCTGCACGGGGAGGGGCTCGGGAGTGGGTGAGACGGAGCATGGCGAGGACACCGGAGCAGACGCTTAGTTTCCGCCGATAGTCGCGAATTCATGCGTAGTAACGTCATAGCGCAGTAGGCTCGAGGCAAGGATGGGGCACCGGGGGAACGGGAGGTGGGAGTCGGTGAGTTACACCTCGACGTGACCTCGCTGTGGGGGGGGTTCGAGGGGAAGGTAAGAGGCACTCCACGCGCCGCACCTACTACGACGCAGTGGCATCATAGTACTACGAGAACCGTCGCATCAGGACCACCCAAAACGGACCTTCATGGCGCATGGTAACGTCGAACGATGCTGGTCAAACGGCGGGAGGACAACGCGCGGAACTCGGGTGGTGCGTCGAAGGAGTACTACTCGTAACTACTAGTGACCATTAACAACAGTAGTGGTCCTCGTACCAACGCTGATAGAAGCCAACAACACTGATTGAACCAACGCCATCGACGAGCTAGCGATAAAAAAAAGCTATTACCAATCAGCAATAGTACACGCCTAGCGAATTCTAGAGGTCATGACTTAGTTGACTTCCATGGATTCCTGATGTGCTGTCAGATATTTTGGTAGGCCTTTCCCTGCTGGAGTTCGGTGCACATGATTCTCGCTATGATAGTTCATGTTCCTTGTTACGGGTGTACTTGACTTAGCGAGCGAGAACTGCAATATCGAAGCAAGAAAGCACAAGGAGTGCACCTCAAAACTCGTATATAGGAAAAAATGAATGCAAGCGCAAACTTGCTCTAAAAACCCCTCAGTTGCGTGCATTAAAGCACGTGATAAACGCACAAATCTGCCTCAAACCACTCCCGATGCACCATTGCTCATTCGCCACCTTCCCGAGCCTCGTCTAGCCCGAGGTCATCGCCTAGCTCATTCGTACCTATTTTAGCATCGTTTTTATACTTTCATATGACATTATGTAGTTCCGACCTCAAGCGAATTTCAGTTCGTTTGCGAAACCCGTGCTCCCATGACACTTGGTATTCAAAGCATTTTTCAAAGCCAATAGCTTCCGCTTGGCCAAAAATCCTTTCTTTGTGGGTGTAAGGGGGGGGGGGTGGTGGGGGGGGAGGGGGAAAGGGGAGAGGGAAGAATAGCCTGATGTCCATGAGTTGCACGACGGCCGGCCGGGAGCACGACTTTGACTGCTCCTTGTGGGAAGGTTGCGAGTTCTCTGTGCGGAGAGTCACTCTACAACGGGAGTTGGACCACGGGGAAGGCACGTGTTGTAGGAGTGATCGTTGCGTTCCTCCGTGTTCTCTATCACTTGTGCGTTCAGAGGACAATTTGTCAAGAGTTTCACTAGGGAAGTTGCATTGCAGAATGATTGAACACGGAATGGCAAGAATGACTACATCAAAGATTAGCAACCTAGGAGGCAAGCTGGTCGACCGCCAGCGCAGCACGGTCGACAATCTGCCAGCGTTGCGTAGAGGCACCGCGCCAGCGTTGCAAAAAGGCGACCTGCCAACAGAGCAAGTTCGCGGCTTGCCAACGCTGCACCATGGCGGCGTGCCACCGCTGCAGCGAAGCAGCCTGCCAGCGTTGCACCCGCAGATGACAATAGCGCAGGTGCGCACCCATTTCGCAGGTGCGCGACGACGGTCGAGCACGTTATCTACCGTCGCGCAGGTGCCAAGTCGGCACGTGCCAACGATCGCGCTAGAAGCTCCACGTCGACCTCGCGATACCCGCCCGAGGTCACATTCGCCATCGCAGCCTTGACGACGGTCGCGCGCCCCCGCAGAACCTCGTCGAGGTTACCTGGTCGACCGGGTCAACGACACAGCGCGAGCCGTGGTCGACGATCGCCCTCGTCGACCGCCGCGCCCGTCGAAGACCAACCTGGTCGACGGAATCCTTCGTCGACCAGCTCGACACGCTGCGGTCGAACTGACATCTTCGACGACCTCCTCGACAGTCCCGCGCAGGTCGACGACCACCTTCGTCGACCACACCCAAGGCAGGTCGACGAACCCCTTCGTCGACCACGCCAGTCGAAATTCGCCATCGGCTTCCCATCGTCGGCGGTTCTGCAGCAGTCTTTTGCAGGTCGACCAACTCTGTCGACCTGCACGTGTCGACCTCTGCAGATGGTCGGCCGCACCTCCCGTGCACCCCACCACTACGTCGGCTTCGCCCAAGCGAGGGCGGGCCCAACACCATGTTCTCGTCAACACTCCCCTCTCGCGCTCACGCTCAGGCACCCAACCCGTACGGCAGAACTATACGGAGAAAACTCATCGTCGGCGAGCACCCAACACACAGCACGCCGTCACCGCACCAGCCATGCAAACGGGCATGGCACCTACTGCTGCACGTCGTCATCCTCGTCGCTGACGTCGGCCAGATGAACTTGGCCGATCGCGACGGATCACCGGCCGCAAATTGGAGCGCCTTTGTCAAGAAGTCGGCTTGTTGCTCGGAAGTCGGGATGTACCTCACCATGAACTTCCCGCGCTTCACCATCTGTTGCAGCCAGGCGTAACGTCGCTCCATGTGCGTGAGGTTGCCCTTCAACCCCAAGCCCTCAGCGACAGTGATGGCCGAATAATTGTCCACACGAAGGACAGTCGGTGTCCCAGCGACGAGCATTTGAACTCTTCAAGAAGGAAGCGCAGTCGACGAGCCTCCTTGCCGGCTTCCGTGGCCGCAACGTACTCCGACTCGGTCGACGAGAGCGTTGCGCACTTGATGCGCTGGCTCGACCAGGAGAGCGCGGCCCCTCCGTAGACGAACACCTAGCCTCCCCTGCTCGTCCGGTTTTCCTTGTCGCCAGCGTCGTCGGCGTCCGCGTAACCGTCCAGACACAGCGACTTTGGTCCACCGCCGAACTCCAGGGCGGTGTCACGGGTTTCGGCAAGGTAGGCGAGGCAGCGGTCGACCTCACGCAAGTGCTGGTCGCTCCTCACCGTCAGGCCGCTGCCGAGCATGCTGCACGCGAAGGCGATGTCCGGCCTCGTCGTCGTCGCTGCAAACTGCAGCGAGTCGACCTTCTGCCGGTATTCCTCCTCCTCGCGCTCCTCATCTTCCTCGCCGTCGAACGTCAGCTCGACTTAGGCGTCGACGGAGACCGGCATCTTCCGAGATTTGCCCAGTCTGCTCCTCGTCGATGAAGCGCCTGTGCAGCTTGTCGACGTACGATTGCTGGTGCAACCACAGCTTCCTCGCCGGCTTGTCGCACATGATCTTCAGCCCGAGATACTTCTCGACCGAGCTGATCTCGCGCAGCTCATAGGCTGCCTCCAGCACCTACTTCAGCTCCTTCAGCATCGCGGTGCTGCTGCTGGCGGCGAGCAGGTCGTCGACGTAGACGAGCACCCAGCAGTCACTCCATCGTCGCCAACCTTGAAGTAGAGTGCCTCGTCGACCAGGCTCATCTTCCAGTCAGCGCCAGTCAGCACGTCGTTGAGCGCCTTGTACCACTACGGCGGCGACTACTTCAGCCCGTACAAACTCTTCAGTAACTTGCACACCCGGTCGGTCCCATCGTCGTAGTAGTCCGGTAGGTACATGTACAACACTCTGTCGAGCTTGCTCTGGAGGAAGGTACTCTTCATGTCGAGCTGCATCAGGTGCAAGTCCACGACGGCGACGATGCTGAGGAAGATCCTCAGCGTGTAGTAGCTGCTGATCGGAGCGTACTTCTCGTCGTAGTCGGCGCCATACACCTGCGTGAAGCCCTTCACGACCAAGCGCGCCTTCTCGCGGGCAACCGTGACACTTCGTCATCAGCATCCACCGGTTCTTCATGATGTTCACACCGCACGGGCGTTCGACTAGCTCCCACGTGCCGTTGCCGATGAGGCTGCGGATTTCTTCGGCTATGGCGGCCTTCACCGCCTTGCCTTTCCAGCTCGCCATTGCCTCCTTCACCGTCGTCGTCGCAATTTCCTTGCTGTGATCGGGGTCGGCGTGCACGTCTGGGTCGAGCTCGGGCAGGTCGACATCAGCCTCAGCGTCGTCGAGCAGTATGGTGAAGGCGGCTGGTGGCAGACAGGCGTGGAAGCTCAGCCGCTCGGGCGGCCGTCGAGCTCGACCTGAACGTCGCAGCTTAGGCATCTCGACCGGAACTCGTCCCATCTGCTGCTCCCTTGTCGGCGTCACTTCTGTTGCTGCCTCCTTTTCCACCAGATACCCTGTCTGCTGCTCCCCCGTCGACGACCGCTTCACGCCCTCGTCAACAAGATTGGCGTTTCGTCGGCCAACAGCGATGCTACTGGCTGGCGCCACAGGCGCCGCCTCACTGCTCCCCTCATCGTCGGAGGCCGACGACCGGGTCGACACAGGGACGCCCGCGAGGAGGGGTGGGGTAACCAGAACAAGAGGAGGAGGAGGTGAGACATCATCGACGTCCTCATCAGCAGGCTCGTCAACCTCGGCGAGCAGCGGGAACGTCGCCGTCGAGATGTCCATCAGAGGGTGTGCTTGCGTCTGCCCCGACGCCGGCCCATACTACGTCTTCCACACCTCCAGCGACAGCGTGTCCTAGAAGATGACCTCGATCGACGTGACCACCTTGTTGTCCGCCAAATCGAGCAATTCCCAGCCCTTGCCCTCCTAGATAAATGCCCCAGCGAGCCTTGGGCGCCAGCTTTCCACCGCGCTGCTGCTCGGGGACCATGAACTGCACCATGCAGCCCCACACCCGCACCAGCGTGAGGTCAGGCTTCTTGTCGGTTAGCAGCTGGTATGGCGTCATCCTCGGCGGCAGCGTCGATCGCTCTAAGAAATTGCGTACCCAGACGGCCTGCCCCAGGGCGAGATGGCACCAGTGATGCTGCACTCCCATGTGCAGCTGCATCGTCCGCACCGACTCGACCACTATCCGCACCTCCCGTTCTGCCATGCCGTTCCGCTGTGGAGTGTACGGGCATGTCAAGTCGTGGACGATGCCCTTCCCGTCAACGAAAGCGGTGAACTCCTTCCCGAGGAACTCCCCTCCTCGGTCTGAGCAGAGCATCAGCACCAATTTCTTCGTCTGTCGCTCCACCACCAGCAGCCACTTCTAAAACTCCCGCAGCACGTCGCTCTTCTTAGCGACCGGCTTCACCCATACGAACCAAGTGTGGCGATCCTTCAGCAGCAGGAAGTACAAGCTGCCGTCCTTGGCAGCCCCCCGGAATGGCCCGCACAAATCATTGTGCACGACAGCTAGTGCCTCCTCGGGGTCCGAGCCTTTGCCGGGGAAGGTGTGTCACGCCAGCTTCCCGCCAACGCATGAG